TTTTTTTTTTTTTTTTTTTGTCATGAGTGGGCATTGAACCTTGTCATATGTTTCATCTCCATCAATTGATTTGATCATGTGATCTTCTGTCTGTAAATTGTTAATATGGTGTTATTTCATTGAGTTTTGAATATTGAATCAGCATTTTTTAATCTGTGGAATAAACCCCACTTGGTCATTGTGGATAATTGCTAACATTTTGTTAAGAAATTTGTATTTATATGTTCAGGAGGGATATCAAGCTATAGTTGCTTTTTTGGTTTGTTTTATTTTTGGCACCGTATCTGGTTTTGGTATCATGGTAACACTGACCTCATAAAATGGGCTGGGAAATTATTATCTTATTTTCTGGAAGAGCCTGTGTAGATTTCATGTTACTTTTTTTAAAAATTTATTTATTTGGGGGCGGGGAATGGAGGGAAGAGCAGAGAGAGAGAGGGAGAATCCCAAGCAGACTCTGTGCTTGGTGCGGAGCCTGATGTGGGGCTCCGTCTTGCAAACTGGGAGATCATGACCTGAGCCGAAATTGAAAGTTGGATGCTTAACCAACTGAGCCACTCAGGCACCCCAAATTTGGTATTACTTCTTAAACATTTGGTAGAATTCTCCAATGAAACCATCTGGGTCTGGAAGGATTTCTTTTTTGAGAGTCTTTAGTTTTACTTTTTTTAACTGTTTATTTTTGACAGAGAGAGATTATGTGCCAGCAGGGGAAGGGCGGTGGGGGGAGGAGGGGACAGAGAATCCCAAGCAGGCTCTGTACTGACAGCAGTGAGCCTGATGTGGGGCTCCAACCCACAAACTGTGAGATCATGACCTGAGCTGAAGTCTGACACTCAACCGACCGAGCCACCTGGATGCCCCTTTTGATAGTCTTTAAGTTACAAATTAAATTTAATAGTTGTAGGGCTATTCAGATTATTTTCTACTGAGTGAGTTGTGGTATGTGGTAGTTTGTGCCTTTTAGGAATTGATCCATTTCTTCTGAATTGTCAAATGTCTGTGTAGAGTTGGTCACAGTATTCCCTTTCTGTCCTCTTGAGGTCTGCAGGGTCCGTTGTGACACCCCTGCTTCATTTCTGGTACTAGTAATTTGTGTTTTCTCTTTGTTTTCCTTTGTCAATCCTGCTAGAATTGTCAGCTCTATTGACCTTTGTCAATTTTACTGACCTTTTCAAAGAACCAGCTTTTTGTTTCATTGGTTTTCTCTACTGTTTTTCTCATGAAACAATTTTTTAAAAACTCTAGTGTGTGTAGAGCACACTAGCAAAAGTATTAAAGTTGTTAAAGGCATGAATATGATGGTGCTTTTTAAGGGGCGTTTCTAAGAATTAGAGTTTTCAAGAGTTGAAGAGGCTGTTCTCATTTGTCATTATTTATGTGGGAAATAGGAAATTTTACACTCTAGATGATTACATGTTTGGGATAAAAGCTTTAATCAGATTCACTAATTTAATGCAATAATGAAAGGAAGATTATGTAGCATAATATCTAGGCTAGTTATAAAATTATTTAAAGTTTTTAAACGTTTTAAGTAATCTAATTTTAAATAGTGCATTTTAAATATATTTTGACCAAGGAGTCAGTGCTTATATTTTGCATGAATAGTGATGTGAATATTCTTGATAAAATCTATTTCACATTCTTTATTTTTGTGATTTTGGGGCCTAACTAGTAATCATTGAATGTTGTATTTCTTAGAAAATAATTTTGACCTATTTTTGATCTTAAAACCTTCATATAATTAAAAAAATTACCTTATTTGAAACTCATTCAGAATAATAGTAAAAAATGAAAGAATTTCATGTTTTCCTTATTTAACTTGTAAGTATAGTGCTGACATAATATTTTAGAGGAGGAAAGGACAGTTACTTAAGTGGAAGTATGTTTGTATTTTGGGTGCTCCTTAAGAGTATATAAATATAAAAGCCTATTTATTCCTAAAATGATAGCCAGTATAATTTTCAAATTGTAGTGCCTGCAGGTGGATGACATCTTTACAACTACATTCATTTATTCACTTTTATAAAATAGTACTCTTACTACTTTAAACTTTATTATAATTTTAATTTTAAAAATTAAAAACTTACATTGTAGAGCAGTGCTTCTCTATTTTTTTTAATTACAAAATGTTTTTAATGTTAATTTTTATTTTTGAGAGAGAGAGAGAGACAGACAGACTGCGAGCCGGGGAGGGGTAGAGAGGGAGACAGAATCTGAAGTAGGCTCCAGGCTCTGAGCTGTCATGACGCACGGAGTCCGACATGGGGCTCAAACCCACGAACTGTGAGATCATGACCTGAACCGAAGTCGGCTGTTTAACCGACTGAGCCACCCAGGGGCCCCTATTTTTATTTTTAAATCAGTACTTCCATGTGATAAAATAATGTCTTCCTTTAGTATCATTTTAAGTTTAAAATAAATAAACTGAAACTTGCAAACTGAAACCAAATCAAAACAATGGGACAGATGGCTGCTTTACTTTAAAATTTCCCCTGCTTCTTAGCCCTTGCCCTTTGGGTATTTTTGTATGTCTATCACACTTTCCAAACTCACTTTATAGAGAATTTGGGTAACAGAATGGTGTTAAGAAAATTAAAACCATCCACAGTGCATCATCCAGAGATAGCCACTTTAATATTGTTGTGTCCTTCCAGCCTTTTTTATATGGCAATATATGATTTCCACACCTACATAATTCTGTATTTATTTTAAAAAATAAGCCTGTATCCCATGCAGTTTCATAGTCTGTATGTTAACCAAACATTATATTGTTAACATTTTTTTCTGGTCATGAAATATTTCTCCAAAACAGAGTATAATGGACATCCTACAAGAGGTACTATAACTTATTTATCCAAACCTTTTTCTGTTGTACATTTAAGCTGCTTCTAATTATTTTCTATTTTAAATAATGCTGAGATCAACATTATTGTACAAAATATTTGTGTGTATAATTATTTAGTTACAAATCTACAAAAGTGGAATTCCTCTGTCTGCCAGCTGTAAATATGTTTATTTTTCTGATAATCAAGCAGTGGATCTTTAATGTGGGGATTTGGTAAATTAAAAATTGTTTAGAGAAGAATGTAAGAAGGGGAGAAAATCCACTAATTAGCATTTTGTAATCCTCAGACTTACATTCACATAATTTTAAAATGAAATTTTATCCTTTCATAGATTGGGGTTAGAGTATGAAACTCACCCGAAACTATTCTCATGCCATTCAGTATTTTCAGTGACATCATTACTAATGTTTATATAATATTCTATTGAGTAATGTACAGTTCGGGATTTTATTAAGTCTTTTTCAACATTTCAAAATTATAAGCTGTGCTGTTGACACCCTTACTTATTTGCTTTTGTGTATGTTTACGATTATTGCTTTGCCATAAATTTCTCTAAGTAGAATTTCTCAAAGCAAATGAACAGATGTTGCTGAAAACTAGGGAAAAGGATACTTATTGTGCTGGTAGGAGTGTTAAATTAGGTCAACCTTTTTGAAGTGCATTTGATAATATGCTTTCGGTGTTTATATTTAACTTCATCCAGGATGTATTTTGGTAAATTCTGTGAATTTGGGGTCTAACTTAATCCTATTGTTAGTAGTTAAGCAGCTACAACTGAACCCATTCTTTCTCCAAAGAGATTTAAAATGGTGTTGATAAATTGAGTTATTTGTTAAATGTTTACATTTATGCCTCATTTGCAACTCTGTTCCTGACCCACTAGTAAAAAATGGAGAGGAAACATCACTTAGAAGACATTGTGAATGGCTGCTCTGTGGTAGCTCGTATAGAAAATGCTCTGGTTAATGGGGCGCCTGGGTGGCTCAGTTGGTTAAGCATCCGACTTCGGCTCAGGTTATGATCTCGTGGTTCATGAGTTCAAGCCCTGTGTCAGGCTTTGTGCTGACTGCTCAGAGCCTTGAGCCTGCTTTGGATTCTGTGTCTCCTTCTCTCTGCCCCTCCCTTGCTTGCATTCTCTCTCTCTCTCAAAAATAAATATATTTTTTTTAATTTTTAATTTTTTAACATTTTTTTTTTTATTATTTATTTTTGAGACAGAGAGAGACAGAGCATGAACAGGAGAGGGGCAGAGAGAGAGGGAGACACAGAATCTGAAACAGGCTCCAGGCTCTGAGCTGTCAGCACAGAGCCCGACGCAGGGCTCGAACTCATGGACCGTGAGATCGTGACCTGAGCCGAAGTCGGATGCTTAACCGACTGAGCCACCCAGGCGCCCCTCAAAAATAAATATTAAAAAAGAAAAGAAAATGCTCT